CCCACAACTCACGTGGCTGAAGAGCTCATTGGTCAGACCCAGGTAGTTGTGAAGAGCCAGGAAGGTGACGCGCTGCAGTCGAACCATGATGATCTAGGAGGGTGGGGGCAGGGCCCGGAGGAGAGGCAGTCAGAGGTGTGGCCAGCAGGGATGGGATGGAGGCGGTGGGCTCCAGAGAACTGGGAGGGCTCCCCATAGTTTAAGTTGGGACCCAGAATTAGGGGGCAGGGGGACTCCGCCGGGCACAGCGAGGGGCGGGCTGGAGATGCATGGGGGTTGGAGCCCAGAGGAAAGCCAGTCTAGGCAAAATTGGAGAAAGGGGCTGGTGGGTGGGTTCCGGACAGGGCTGGGAAGCCCAGCTGCTCCAGCTTGATAAGCAGTAGTGACTATGAGGGTGGGGAGGGGACGGGTCTGCCAGAGGACAAGCCCCTCACCTGCACCACGCGCACCAGGCTCTCAGGGTACTTGGTGAAGACCGCGGAGAAGGCTTCCACTGGCAGCCGCAGCACCGTGGAGTCCCGAGCTGCCCGGGCAGACACTGTGCGCTGCGGATGCTGGTGACCCTGGGGGTGGAGAGGCCTGTGGTCAGGGACACCCTCAAGGCCCCTCCACTGGCCTGACCCTTTTAGGACCACCGGCAGGTTCCAGGGCCAATGGGCCCAGGGTTTCTGGGGTGACCTCCAGCCCTGAACAGGTTGGCCACTTACAGTGATGACATCCAGGATGCTCAGAAGGCTGTTGACGCTGTCCCCGGGGACCACTTCCTTCACCACGCACTCCTTCCCATCCTGAGAAACGGGGACCACCAACAGTGAGGGCCCCAGCCAATGACCCGCTGGCCAGCACTGGCCCTGCAGCCCACTCAGTCCACTATCTGTGGACCAGGCCTCTCAAAAGTCCGCCAACCCCCTCTAACTTCATGTTATGGACTAAACTGTGTCCCTTCCCAATACACGTAATCCTAACTCACCCCTGTACCCATGAACAGGGAACCCTGGTGGTGTAGGGGTTACGTGTCAGGCTGCTAACCGCAATGTGGCAGTTCAAAACCACCAGCCGTCCCAGAAAGAAAAATGAGGTTTTCTATTTCGGTAGCGTTACAGTCTCAGAAACCCACAGGGGCAGCTCACCCCTGTCCTACAGAGTCACTGTGAGTCACAATTGGCTCGATGGCAGCGAGTGTGGCTTCCTTTCCTTTTTTCTGTACCTATAAACCAGGCCCTCTATGGAAATAGGAGCCGAGGGCTCACTGCTGGGTAAGCCTGGAGCTGCGACAGCTTACCCAGACGATCCTCAGCAGAAAGATGAGGCTGTCTACTCTCTTGAAAGCTAAAGTCTCAAAAAAAAAAAAGGCCGTTTCAGAAACCCTGTATAGGAATCAACTTGATGGTAGCGGGCTGATTATTGAGTGGAAAATAGGAGCTCTTCTCTCTGCTACGTTAATGGGACCAGAGCAGAGCTCAGTACCATGGAGTCGACGCTGACTCACGGCAACCCTATAGGGCAGGGTAGAAATGCCCTTGTGAGTTTCCAAGACTGTGACTCTGTACAGGGGCAGAAAGTCTCGTCTTTCTCCTGAGGAGTGGCTGATGGTTTTGAACTGCCGACTTTGTGGTTAGCAGCCCAAATGCATAACCACTACACCACCAGGGCTCGCAGAGCAGAGCTGGGTAGGTCTCGTGTCTCTGGATTAGAAAGACCAGAACAGACACCGCCACACAGCCGTGAACACACAGAGGGGAAGAGGCTGATGACGGAGACGTGTGCCTCTATAAGCTCCAGCATGGGCAAGGGCAGCCCTGGCAACTGTACCCCGACACAAAGACGGAGCCACCCCAAGGGGAGACTTCCAGCCTCCAGATCGATAAGAAAACGAATTGCCGCTCTGTAGAGCCCCCGCTCTCCTGAGGTATTGCCGTGATGGCAGCCCTACCTACCGACGGCATTACAGTGAACCCTCGCCACTTCGCGCTTCCACTTCCGCGGCTTCACTCTATCGCAGTTTTTGCGTAACAGCACCCACTGCCTACACCCGCTCCTTCAGAGGAAAAAGACGGCGACCCACCTGTAGAGTACATCCCTTAAGTCATTTCATAGGCTATTGATTACAGTATCTGTAAGAACTATGTATAATAATACTGTATGTGAAATATGTAATACTGTAAACTAGATGCCATAAATAATATAATAATAAATGATAATTGTAACGTCCAAAATGTTTTACTGTATTTTCCCTTTTTCGTTTAATAAATTGGGTAATACGAGTGTAATGGTGACTAAAGGGTGTTTTTTCATGTCCTCTATGCTCTTACTACGAAAATATTTGATTTACAAATAAGGAATCCTACTTCGCGGAATTTCATTTATCACGGTAGGGTCTAGAACCGATTAACCGCGATAAACGAGGGTTCACTGTATGCATTTGTCAACACCCAGAGGATGGTAGGCCTCACAGGGGGAGGTGGTCCACTACTTGCTCTAGTTCTTAAGGATGTTTCACTATCAGCTCAGTAACTGTAACAAATGCACACGGGAGGAGCAGGGGCGGACACGATTCTAACAATAGGAGACAGGGGAGGGTGGGGAGGGAGCTACGGGAACTCTGTGTTCTCGGTACTGAATGCAGCTCACACAATCCAGCCCATTGTGTGCGGTAAAACAAATAAATACTGGGAAAGCAGGAAAACCCGGGGAAGAGTCTGTACTGATAATATTTATTGCCCGAGTTCCTTTAAAACTGGTATTCCAGCTCAGCTGTTCACAGAGACGCCGGCAGCTTGCCGGCAGAAAGGCCAGGTGGTCTGCTTCCCCACGCTGTGGACAACCCCTCCTATGGAGCCCAGTTCCACATGGACACACACACGGAGTTGCTCTGAGTCTGACTTGCTAGAAACCAGGGGTGCAGAAGGGGCCCGGAACACAGAGAGCGGGGCAGAGAGGCCAGACACAGAGCCGGCCAAGCAACCGCTGAGGAGGTCAGGAAAACTCCCACCTGGCACGCCTGAAGTTCAAAGGACACGCTGAGTGCCACGGAAGGGCCTGGAAAACATGATGCTGGGTGAAACCGGCCGTCACAAAAGGGTCATGAGCTCATCCCTGAGAAGCAGGGGGCTACACAGAACCCGGAGCTTACAGGGGTCTGGTGCTGGGGGTGGGAAGGGTGAGGAGGGGCAAGGTGCTGTTTAGGGGGCGCCCAGCTGCGTGGAGTGAGGCAGAGGAGGAGGGTGGGAATGCCCGGGGAAGCATCAAGAATGGCCTGGGTTGTTTCTGGGGACAAAGCCCTGAAGGGCCATGTGTCCCGCTGCGTGTACTCTTGTCACTGCTGTCTGTTACCGCGGAGTCAATTCTGACTCAGGACCACCCTGAGTATTTTCAAAGCTGCGTGTGGCCTTTCAGCTGTCGAAGGGCAGACTGTTCTTCCACGGCCCCCGTGGCCCCCGTGCACTCCCACAGCCAGCCTTTGGGCTGGGCATCAAGGGTCCGTCACCTGTCCCCCCCACCAAAAAAGGGCCTCCTTGTATGTACTCAATGGCAATCACCGTCCCCAGGTACCAAAGGCTGGGCGACCTCTTGTACGTCTTTTAACAAAACACATCGAACTTGTTGAACGGAAAGGCTGACTCTGCAAACCTCCAACCAAGTCACTGTAGAAAGCTCAAGCAAAACAAACACACAAGGAAAAGCAGAGGTAAAAGTGTAAAGAGGTGGGGCAGCTAGATTCAGGGAGGCAGAACCACCAGAGTGCAAACGCTGAGAATGCGCACGCACCACGAAGAACATGGTCAGTTTCACTGAGCAATCTGAACGCACAGTAACATACTACAGAGGAGGAGATGAAGGAACAGAATTCTCCGAGGGGGTGGGTTTCCCAAATAGGCCTGAGAACATTCATGATCACTTCATTCCATCTTTTCCATCAACTTTTTGAAAGCTCCCAATATGTATTGGGACAAGTAATACATAGAAATCAGTAAACCTTGAGGGTGTAGAAGCCCCGGCCCTGTGGACCATCCCACTGCCCACCCCTGCTACTCTCACAGGCTGGCCACTCACCGGGCTGGGCAGGCACAGCTCCAGCAGCCCATCCTGCACCACGTAGATGCTGGCGTCCGGCTGGCCTGGCCGGAAGACATAGTCCCCCTGGGTGAGCCGCTGGAAGACCATGTGTCTACAGAGCTCTAGGAAGAGAGGTTTCTCGAAGTGGCCCAGCACCCTGCAAAGCAAGTGGGTAAGGTAGGTGGGAAGTCAGACGGGGCCTCAGTCAGCCCCACAGCTGTCCCCTGACCCACTCCCACCTGTCTCTGCTGCCACTGACCGGACGTTCTTGAGCATGTAGAGCACCTCGGAGGGCAGGTGGGAGTTGGCCAGGTCGCCCTCTGTCAGGTCAGCCTCCAGCACGGCGGGTGGGGGCTCCTTCCGCTGCAATGTTGGCGTCTCTTTCTGGATGCGCAGGATCCTGGTGGCCGGAGGCAGTGGGACAGGAGGGAGCAAGGAGGGGTCAGCAACTTTTATATATAAAGTTTTGTCGGCACAGGGCCATACGCATTCAGTTCTGTATCATCTATGGCTGCTCTCTGCCTCCTTCAAAGTGTAGGAGTCTGTGGGGTGTGCAAAGCCTAAGAGGCGTCCGGTCTGGCCTTTTGCAGTAAACGTGAACCGAACCCTGACAGAAAGCCCTGACCCTAAGTCCCTGAGACAGACAGATCCTCAATGGAGGCAGACTCCACAGACAGCCTGAGACAGCCTCCTTTGTTGTTGCTGCTGTTAAGTGCCATCGAGCCGGCGCTGACCCACAGTGGCCCTACGCCCAACAGAATGCCATGCTTCTCGGCCCTTTGTCATCCTCACAGTTGTTCCTGTGCCTGAGCCAAATGGTTGCAGTCACCATGGCTATCCATCTCCTGGAGAGCCTTCCTCTTTCTCAATCCCCCCCAAACACACACACACACACTCTCTCTCTACCAAGCATGATAAGCATGAGGTTCTTCTCCAGGGAGTGGAGAGAGATTCCCTAGTGGAGGCAGATCCTGAGGTAGCTTCCATGTGAGGAGGAGACCCCAGACATCACCTCTGGCTCTTCTTTCCAGGCCAGAAAGCAGCCCGAGCCTGTGATTCTTGAGATCGCCCGCCCCCTCCCCCCAGAGAGTCCAGGCAGAGACCTCTGCTCACTGTGAACCAGAAGTGCGTTTCTCCTCGAGTCCCCGTGACTGCTGAGACAGGCCCTCTTCTAGGAGCGTCCCCTCCCCACCCCCAAGATGGAGAAATCCAGGTCGGTGCCTTTTCTAGCCAGAGGGACCCTATGCCCCTACAAGTCGTAAAGACAGAAGAGGAGCTCCTCCAGGTTGGGCAGACGCTGGACAAGATCTTCCTGCCATGGGGAGACGTGAGACCCAGTCCCTCGGCTCCCCCACCAGGGAGGCCCTGGACCGAGCCTTCCTTGCCGGGGCCGGGGAAATCCTGCACAAGCAGCTAGCTCTGTGGGGCATGGAGTCCCTTGAGGACCCTCTAGCATGAAGGTTTTGTGAGACCCTGGATGGGAAGCGATCCCAGAGCCAGCTCCTGGGTTACTAAGATCCAGTTGAGAGCCCTCCTCAGAGGCCCTGTGCTGAGGATGGAGACCCCTGACACATTTGTTCCTATCTTTCTGGTAGAGGAAGATCCTTGGGCTAGCTCCTGGGGCCCAGCACCCCAAAAAACAGCGTCCTCAATGTAGGGAGAATTGCAAGTTCATGGGATGAAAACGCAGAGATTTGCTGGGACGATGACTTCAGGGAGGGCCTCGCCAACAGGTCACCGGAGACCGGAGGTGACTTCAGGGAGGCATCCTGGAATAAATCCCCTGTGAGTAGACCTCAGAGAGATACGGAAAGATAGCACGACTGGTGTGGAGTTCTGAGACCATCCCTTAGAAAACAGTGCTGAGAGAACCTCTCTGGTGTGAAAAGACAGTTCTCCAGGCAGCTGGTGTGCAGTTCACAGAACCCAGAAAGCACACCCTTTGGTGTGGGTGGGCCAGTCAGAAAGCCTGAGATAACCTTCAATCCCTTCCCTGCCCCCTGCCCCACCTTGCTACACACACACTGGGCACAGCCTTACTTCTTAGCAATGTTGAGCATCTTAAGTTTCTTCTTCATGCGTGGCCGGGAGGTGGTGGACACTGAGGTGTCCACCAAGGAGGAAGTGGACTGTGACACCTAGGATGGTAAAGGAAGGGGCGATGCGTCAACTGTCAGTTGAAGAACAGGGGAGCCAGGTCTCAGGTGTCTTGAAAGCGGCTGGGAAGGTGCCCAGGAATGCAATACGGAAAGGGCAGGGCCTCCCCTGCTTGGGGAGCTCAGTGCCGCTCCAGGCGTCCTGAACTCACCTTCCGCATAATCTTCCGGCCATAGAAAAGTACTTTGTCCCTCTTCCGGAACCGATACCGGGGGCCTTCCGGGGCTGGGGGTTCTGAGGAGGGGTGGGGACGTGGTTCTCTGAGCTCGGGCCAAATCCCATCTCGACGCCCCCCAGACCCTAGCACGTGGGCTTCCCACCCGCAGCCTCCCCGAGGGGCCTTCCGGGTCCTCACTCTGCACCCGCAGCTTCCGCACCAGCAGGAGGATGAGCACAGCAGTGACCAGCGCCGCGACTCCGGCCCCGATCATCACGCCCAGCACCTGCGGCACGAACGGCACTGGCTGCGGGTCGCACGGCCGCCCCGCTGAAGCCTCCCTGGGGGCCGGGACGTCCAGGGTGCCCTCCCACCCCGCCCCCGGGGAGGTCGCAGACAGCTCGGGCCTCGGTGTCCCCATCTGCAGAATGGCCCGGTGCAGCTCCCTCCCCGGGGGCCCCACTCTCCCCGACGCTCGGCAGCCCGAGAAGCAAGCCGGGAAGAGTAGTTCCGCCCGAACACGCGCCGCGATGTTCTCGCGAGACCGCAAACTACGCGGGCTGAGCCCGTCGGGAGTTGTAGTCCCCGCGGCACCGCAGGCTCGCGAGCCTCACCATCCCGGTTTGCAGCGGGGCCTCCATCTGCGGCTTCAAAGAGGTCCTCGGCGGGAATGGCCGCCCCGAGCCCTTGGAAACGAGAACGCCCGAGGAGCTCGCGCGGGGCCGTCTCTCTGGGTCCGGCCCGCCCCTGCCGGAAGCCCCGCCCTCTGCGTACCCGCGGCCGGAGGCCAAGGGTCACGGCCGGACTGCGGGGCTCGTGCGGTCGGCGTCGGAGTGTAGGCCAGGGGTGAGATGGACCCGCCGGTCGCTAGCTCCTTCCCCTGCTCAACCGCCCGACCAGTCGCCCCACCCCGCCCCACCCCCCCCTGGGGCCAAAGGGCATGTAGGCATCCGCTGTCTGCTGCCCACCCACGCGCGGGGCCCCGCAGGGCACAGCCCCGACGCGCCTCCTGGGGACCCTCCTGGGTCGGTCCCTCCCTGGCCCTGCAAGGTTGATCAGTCGTGACCAACAGCCCCACCCCCGCCCCCCAGGAATATGGAGCTTAGGGTGAGCTGGTAGCCGGATGCCAGGATCCTGACTCAAACCTGCCACGGGGAAGGGATGGGGATACTGCTGGGGGCTCCCACAGTAAGGGGCCTTGGAGAGGTGCGGGGACGCTTAGAGTGGGCTTTTACTGGTTTACGTCGGAGAAGGCAGAAAGGGTTAAGCACTTCACTGGTAACTAAAACAGCTGCGATTCACACCCATTCATTGGCTCCCGGGGAACAAGACCTGACTATCTGCTTCCCTAAAGATTACAACCAAGAAAACCGTAGGGGGCAAAGTTGGGGGCGACTATGGGTGCCCAGCAGCATGAGGCCCCCCCCCCCCCCCCCCCGCCAACGATGCTGGCAACGTTGTAATTACTTGGTTGGGTGGGGGTGATGGAAAGATTCTGGAGCGCACAAGACCACTGTTGGGGGAAGCCCCCTAGGGTCCTTGGGATTTGATTGTGGATCTGGGGGCCGAGTCGGGGGCTCCCTGGACGGTGTTAAGATGGAATATTACTGAGACTTATGTGGAAGCCTGAGGGTGTGTCTGGCGTCACAAGAACATTAAAGAAATTTGAAGGAGTTCCAAAGCCCTTGGGACGTTACCTAGAAAATTCTTGGGGTGACCATTTCCCGCTTCTGCCCCTGGGAGCACCTGGTTATCAGTACAGAGACACCTGCCAGGGATGGGTGCTACAGGAAACCCAGGGTGACTAGCGTTTGGGGAGACATTATGTGGGGAATCTGACAGTTCACTAACGACCCTCGAAAAGAAAGCCCTGCAGGGCAGATGCCAACCCGGACTCACCCTGGGGGTCGTCTTCAGGGTCCACCGATAGCCAAGCGAGTCTTCCGCCTGCGTCCTGGGCGCGGTCCCTTTAAATTATTCACCGCGGGGCACATAGCCCCGCCCCACCCTCTTTGCTGGGAAGGTTGCTAGGTGCCCTCCATGCTGGGTGTGGCGATGCCTTAAAGGGGCCAGAGCTCAGCTGGGAAAAGTAAGGATTGTCCCTCCGCCCCGGTGAAAATACAAAATCAAATCCAAGAGAAAAACACACTTCTTCCGTGTTTATTTAACCCTTGACCCAGCTGGCCCAGGCACAGCAGGGAGCCGGTCCTTAAAAGCAAACCCTAAAAATAAATAAGCGGGAGACCCCTGGGTCTGGGGCCAAGGGGCCAGTGGCTGTGCCGGTGGTCTTTGCCATCAATTCACCAGTAGTGACTGCTCCTCCGAGGCGGTCCTGGAGACGGGGCGGGGTCAGGAAGCGGTCAGCTCCCTCAACACCCAGCCCATCCCACACCCCCGGCCACAGGCCCAGCACCCAGCCACAGCACCTGCCACAGCAGCAGAGGAGGCTGCAGGCTGAGCCGCTCCCTCGACGGAACTTGCCAGACGTGGGGCTGTCCTGGCACTGGGCGATGTAGGCCTGGAGCTCACTCTGCTCACCGTTGGCACCAGGGTGCTAAGGGGAGAGCAAGGGCAGGACAACATGAGAGTGGCCTCTGTCCCTAAGGTCGTAGAGGTCTGACCTGCCCTTCACCCATTGGTAGCATTCTGAGCCCTGGCCGCCCTTTTACTGCAAGAACCACCACCCTGGGCTTAACTCATGCACACCTAGCACCTGTAACTTGACCCCTCTGCTGTGGCCTCAGGAGTCCCTGGGTGGCACAGACAGTACAGTGCTCAACTGTGAGCCCCGTTCCTCCCAGAGGGGCCTTAGAGGGTCTCAGCCTGGAAAGCTCCAAGGAGCAGTTCAACTCTGCACACGCGTGAAGAAGGCAAGGAGCTTCGCTGCCAGGGCCCAAGCTGGACTAGACCCTCTGGGTGTTCATAACATCACATGGCTTGGCAGTGGGGGCAGGGTCTGGGCTTACTGCAAGACCCAGGGGGGCTCTTGAGACAGCTGTCTTCAGGCACAAGGGCCACGCAGGGGCCAGGTACACAGATCACCCCCCACCCCCACCACCAGCAGAAGCGAACCTCCCAGCTGCCAGTTACGCCTGCACCCCTCCCAGTCCTTTTAAAATCCTGAGCACTGTGGTTAGGTGATGGACCTGCTGACCACAAGCTCAGCAGTTCAAACCCACCAAGCAGCTGTGCGCTCCAGTGCAGTACAGATGGGCAGGGTCACTGTGGCTGGTGTGGGTTTCCATGCCAGTGATGCTTCCCCACCTCTGGCCTCTCTGATGGAGAGCAGTATGTCCTGAGATGGTAATGCTCCGGACCTACACTCTCCAGCAGGCCAACACTGGCCACGGTGGAAGGTCCCTAGGGGATGCCGACAGGCAAGGGCTCAACTACTAGCCAGAAAGAAGGTTGGTGGCTCCCACCGGGCCACTAAGAGGCACCCGGGGAGACCAGCCTGGGGATCTGCTTCCTAAAGGCCACTCAGCCTGGAGGACTGCTCGGTTGGGCTGCCGTGAGGTGGAATTGAACCACTGAAGCACAGGTGCACGTGGACGGACTCTCCCAGAGGGGCCTCAGAAGAAAGGCCTGGCGATGTGCTTGAAAAGTCACAGCTTGAAACACTAGGGGGCAGGTCCACTCTGAACACATGGGTCCACTACAGGTGGGAGGTGGCCTGACAACTTGGGCTGGTATTTTGCTTTTCTAGCCATATTTAGCTGGATTGATATATGTGGATGTAGATAGGTGGGAAGGGCGGGGATTCTTTTTTTTTAGCTACACTCCAACTCAGCTCACTCCCATTGAGGCAATTCTGACTCGGAGTGCCCCTATAGGACAGGGTAGAACTGACCCTGTGGGTTTCTGAGACTAACTCTTCATGGGAGTAAAAAGACCCCTCTTGCTCCCTCAGAGGGCAGCTGGTGGTTTTGAACTGCTGGCCTGCAGTTAGCAGCTGAATGCATAACCACACCTCCACCAGGGCTCCACCCTACACTCTACGGGCCAGTTACAAATGTGTTGTCGTCAAGGGCCAAGGAGTTGGTTCTGACTCATAGCGAGCCACACGACACACAGCAGAACGAGACACTGCCCAGTCCTGTGCCTCCTCACACTGGGTCCTCTGCTTGAGTCCACAGTCACAAGCCACCCTGTGGATCTGTCTCGCCAAGGGCCTTCTTTTTTCCGCTGCCCCTCTACTTTACCACGCATGATGTCCTTCTCCAGGGACTGGAGAGTGTAAGTAGGCACATGGCAGCGAATTCCGGGAGCCTTCCCCTTTAAGGAGCCCTGGTGGCATGGCGGCTGTACATCAGGCTGCTAACAGCAAGATCAGCAGTTAGAAACCGTCAGCCCCTCCGCGGGACAGAGGCGAAGCTCTTCTACTCCTGTACAAAGTTAGTCCCGGAAACCCCCAGGGGGCAGTTCCACCCTGAACTCTAGGGTGGCTTTCTCGGTCAGAACCAACTGGATGGCAGTGAGTGAGTGAGAAGCCTTCCCGGGCCTGGTGGCACAGAGCTCAAGTGCCCGGTGGTCATGGAGAGGGTCAGCGGAGCGTGGGAGAAAGGGTGACAATCTGCTCTGTGACGACGACCCCCTTGGGAGCCCCATGGGCCATTCTGCTCTGTGCTAGAGGGTCCTTGGTATCGACTTGCCAGCCAAGGGGTTCGGTGGCCCCAGCCCTGGCTGCAATGCCACCATCAACCTGCGTCACCTTCCACCCTTCGTTCGCCTTCAGCCGCTGTGGCCTGTAGGGCAAGCATCTCCTCCTGGTCAACCAGCCCCGTGCGCGGACCGGGGGGAGGCTGACCTTGATGGTCTCGTAGGCGCCCGTGATGAGCGCGATGAAGAGGCTGAGCACCATGTAGATGAAGAGGCTGATGAAGGAGTAGAGGTAGAGCTGGGAGAAGAGCCACACGAGGCTGCTGCGGCCCTGCTGGGCCTGCATGGCGGCGAACGTCACAAACATGTCGTCCCCGTTGATGAGCGAGAACAGGCACTCGGACACCATGGACAGCGAGCGGAACTGCGGGGGGGTGGGGGGGCGGGGGCTCAGAGGAGGCAGGCATGCAGGCCCAGCAGTCAGTCACCGGGGGCCGTCTGGGGTGGTTGTGACCATGACAAAGCCACAAGGCCACCAGAGGTCAGAGGGGGCAGTGGCTAGAGCTGACTGTAAGCAGACTCCCAGGAAGGCCACCGATCATGACATAGACAAAGTGGTCACAGGGGCCATGGAGGTTCACCTGAGGTCCTAGGGAGCAGGGCCCCAGGGCTTCCAGGTCACCATGTCCATGACCGGGTCGCCATGTCATCAGAGAGGGAATGGTCTCGTGGGGCAGGGTTCCTGGACTGCGGGTCCTGACGGGGGGTGGGGGGTGGCACCTACCTTCACATGGTAGGGCCCCAGCACAATCCAGCCGCAGAAGCAGTAGCCCAGGTAGATGACGGCCACACAGCAGCAGAAGCGCATGACACTGGGCAGGGCCACACGTAGCGTGGCGATCAGGATCTGAGTCGGAACGAGGATGTCCGGGTGAAGACGTGACCACAAGCCCATCAGCTGAGGCCCCCGAAGGGCAGAGCACTGCTGCGGGGGCCCCATGGCTGGACTCAGGTAGGGGAGGGTCTGTTCTAGATCCGACGGTGTTCTCCAGAGCCATATGCTGGATTCTGAACCCCTGTCTCTATGCGTATCCGCTAACGTGGGAGTTGGGCTTTCTGTGTGATGTTCCAGAGGCTTGCTCTCCCCCGGGGACTTCGGAGCCAAAGCAGCAGATGCAACACCGAGAGAAGCGGCGGGAACGTAATGGGGACAGATGCCAAGGAGATCACCCAGGAACCGAGGACCGCCAGGGCTGCAGAAGCTGGGACACGGACCCCCCACCCACCCACGGGTCCCAGAACCACAAAGACAGACAGACGAGGGAGCCTTCCCCTGCAGCTGGTGCCGGGAACCCTGCCCTCTAGCCTCCTGAGCTGTGAGAACATAGATTGCGCTTTTCACAGTAGCCCACGTGTAACTGGAAAGGTTAGCGAGGAGGTGGGGAATGAGGCCATAGTCCTGGGGGACAGGGGGGAGCAGCCGACTTGGGTGGGGTGGGGGGGCACATGCAGGAGCTACAAGCTGTCCCCAGGTTTCTGGCTCGTTCCTCGATGATCAGGGGCTACACACTCTGCTGTCATATTTTCAACAAGACAGAAGTAAATTATCCAAAAGAAAACAGATCTTCTGGTGCCATTTCTGGGATAGCAGCACTGAAACATGGGGCCAGGGTCCCCTGGGTGGCTCCTGCCCCGTGGTGGTGTCTGGGGTAGCAGGTATGGCAGGGGGGTCCTATCCAGATGTGGTGACAGGTATGGAAAAAAGGTCCTGCTCAGATGTGGTGACAGGTTGTGTCTAAGGTGGCAGGTATGCCAAGGGGAGCCCTGCCCAGGTGTGGTGACAGGTGTCTGTAGTGGTAGATATGAGGGGGAACCCTGCCCAACTGCATCTGGTGCTGCCAAGGTCCATGGGCTTGGGGCCGCGCGGGACTCACATTGTACTTGTGGAAGAAAGTCAAGTAGCGGATGACGCCAACCCAGACGAGCAGCGTGGAGGTGCCCAGGAGGATGCTGCACACATCATAGCTGGCCAGGTTCTGCGGGGAGGAGCCTGGGTCAGCGCCAGGAGGCCCCAGGACCCGGTGGGAGCTGCAGGCACCGGGCCGGGCCTCCCACCTTGGCTTCGATGCCGATCTTCATGACGGTACCCGAGATGGTGAGCACGTCGCTGGTGACCAGCAGGATGTACCAGCCGTTGATGAACTCCAGCCGCTCCCAAAGGTTGATGGTGCGTCCCCGCCGCCGCCACATGAACCCCACAAACTCCTGCAAAGCGCCAGAGTGAGGTGAGGCCAGTGCCCTGCAACCCTTAGCCCCCCTCTCCAGCCCCTTTGTGCCCCAGCCTGCAGGCCTCACATTCTGCAGCAGGAAGCCTCGGAGCAGTGAGCGGGCGCAGAGCAGGAAGGACAGGGAGCAGGTGAGCAAGACCACCACGTCGAACAGCAGCCGGAAGCTGTTGTCTCCTGCGGGGGTGGCAGCAGGTGGGTGGGGTCTGGGCCCCGCTGGAGGACTGAGCTAGCCACAGGTTTGGGACCTGCTCTAGGGAGGCCAAGGAGCTCTGCTGGCTGCTAGCCACAAGGTACAAAGTTCAAAACTGCTCCATGGGAGAA